TCGCATCACACGCTCACCCTACCGCCTCACGCCGCTTCTGCGGAGCCTCAGCTGCCCCCGGCTCGCCCCCGTCCGACGAGGCGCCCGCCCACGCCTCCTTGCGCAGGTCGAGCGCGCCGCGCAGCAGGGAGGTGGTGACGGCGAGGCATGCCTGCGCCGCGGCGTCGCACCCCTGCGACTCTGCAAACAGCGACGGCGGAGCGCGCAGAGTCCGCTCGAGCAGCGACGCGAGGGCGGGGGGTAGCGGCGCGAGGAGCTTCCCGTCGACGCTGCCGCGATCGAGGTCGAAGCAGACCTGCAGGAAGGGGCCAGGAAGGGGCCAGGAAAGGTCCAGGAAAGGTCTAGGAAAGGTGCCGCGATCGAGGTCGAAGCAGACCTAGCCGAGACGCGCCAGGATGGAGAGAGAGAAGACGCCGCTGTCGATCAAGTCGGACGCATCTCGGCGCATCTCGGCTACATCAGACCACGCCAGTCGAGAGGTCGACGGACTGGGCGGAGAGGATGCCGTACAGGAAGGGGAAGGGCGCGCACAACACCGCGTCGTGCAGCGGCGGCAGCAGAGGCACGTACCTGAGCTCGGCTCATCTCGGCTCATCTCGGCGCTCATCTCGGCTCATCTCGGCGCTCATCTCGTCTCATCTCGCACGTCTGCGTCCAGCGGAGGGGAAGCAGCAGCGACGACGCGGAGTGCGCGGCGGCGGCGAGGCGGCGCGGGTCGGTCGAGACGAGGACGACCTTTTGCTCGACGAGGAGCGATATTAATATCATAATAACAATATAATAATATACGCAATATGAGAAAGGAATGGAAGCAATATGATAAAGGACGGACCTTTTGCTCGACGAGGAGCGCCGCGAGCAGCGCAGAGAGGGCCGCGCCGCCGCGAGGCGCCGAAGCGAGGGGGGTGAGGGCAGCTTGGGGCGGCTCGACGCGGGCAGACAGGGAGCGCTCACACGGCCTGCGCGCCTCCACCAGCGTGCCCGCGCACCGCAGCCTCCACGGGTCTCCTGGAGTTTGATCGGCCAATCTCGCGTGAGCTCGGCGCATCTCGCGCCGCCGATCCACCCCCCCCCCTCTCTCTCTCTCTCTGTCTCTCTGTCTCTCTCTGTCTCTCTCTGTCTCTCTGTCTCTCTGTCTCTCTGTCTCTCTGTCTCTCTGTCTCTCTGTCTCTCTGCCGCTGTCTGTCCTCGCGGACGTCTCTGTCTCTGCCCACGTTGATGCCTCTGTCCATCCCTCTGTCCATCCCTCTGTCCATGCCTCTGTCTCTGTGTCGGCTCGCCGTTCGCGCGTGGCCCAGATGCCTCGACCAGCAGCGCGCAGGCGTCGTGCAGCCTACACCGATGCGTGCTTCTGATTGGGTCAGGCGCCGTGCCTCTTGTTCAATCTTAAAGGCGTCATCACTCAACCTCGACCACCGCGCCGCCTCGCCGTCGCCGGCGCAGCGCGGCGGCACCGACGCGCCGCCCTCGAGCGCCTCGGTCGCGAGTGGCAGCAGCGCGCGCGCGGCCGACTCGAGCGCGCGAGGAAGGTAGTGCGGGCCGAGGACGACCTACAGGAAGGCTCCAAGAAAGGTCTAGGAGAAGTCTAGGAAAGGATGGTAGTGCGGGCCGAGGACGACCTACAGGAAGGCTCCAGGAAAGGTCTAGGAGAAGTCTAGGAAAGGGAGGTAGTGCAGGCCGAGAACGACCAGGCACGCGCGCGACGGCGCGCAGCCGACGGGAAGGACGCAGCCGTGCGCCCGGCCGCCAACCTACAGGAAGGCTCCAGGAAAGGTCTAGGAAGGGTCTAGGAAAGGACGCAGCCGTGCGCCCGGCCGCCAACCTTGCTAGTTAGGCAGAGAGGGAGGGAGGGCGGAGCAGCGGCAGCCCCCTCCCCCTCCTCCTCCTCGCCGCCGCCGCCTCCCTCCCCGTCGCCACCGGAGGAGGAGGCGGCGGCGCCACCGCCGTTACCGCCGCCTCCGTTGCCGCCGCCTCCGTTGCCGCCGCCTCCGCTTGCCACGTGGCTGTCGCCGAGCATGAGAGCGAGGCCGCAGAACGGCGCGACCGAGAGCATGTTGAGCTCGGGGCCAGACCTCTCGTCCGAGCTTGTGCGGTGGAAGAGCACCTCGGGAGGAGAGCGGTGCTCCTCACAAGCGACGGGAAGGGCTGGCTACTTCAGAGCTTGTGCGGTGGAAGAGCACCTCGGGAGGAGAGCGGTGCTCCTCACAAGCGACGGGAAGGGCTGGCTACTTCAGAGCTTGTGCGGTGGAAGAGCACCTCGGGAGGAGAGCGGTGCTCCTCACAAGCGACGGGAAGGGCTGGCTACTTCAGAGCTTGTGCGGTGGAAGAGCACCTCGGGAGGAGAGCGGTGCTCCTCACAAGCGACGGGAAGGGCTGGCTACTTCAGAGCTTGTGCGGTGGAAGAGCACCTCGGGAGGAGAGCGGTGCTCCTCACAAGCGACGGGAAGGGCTGGCTACTTCAGAGCTTGTGCGGTGGAAGAGCACCTCGGGAGGAGAGCGGTGCTCCTCACAAGCGACGGGAAGGGCTGGCTACTTCAGAGCTTGTGCGGTGGAAGAGCACCTCGGGAGGAGAGCGGTGCTCCTCACAAGCGACGGGAAGGGCTGGCTACTTCAGAGCTGAGGAACTGAGTCGAGCACCTCGGAAGAGTTTGTGCTCATCACAGCGACGTGCCCGACGAGCGGCGGAGGGCCGCGCCCTGACGCGCCACTCAGCCGGCGCAGCACACACCGCTGCACGATGGCCGCCGCCGCGACAAGGTTCGCCCGCCGCCGCGTACTGACGCGCCTGCCAGCGCGCCCGAGCGTGGCGGCGGCGAGGTCGCGCCTCCGCTGCTCGGCGACGGCGGCGTCGGCGTCGGCGCGCTTGGCCTGGGCGACGGCGCGCGCCTTGTCGCTCAGCGTCCCGCCGGCGAGCAGCCGCTCGTAGCACGCCGCCGCCAGCTCGTACTCGCCCAGCTTGAGGCGCATGTTGACGTGCGAGAGGATCGTCGTCGGACGCGGGTCGAGCCCGCTCGCCTGCGCGAAGAGTGAGGCCGCCTCGGCTATGTCGCCGGCCGCGTTGGCCGCGAGCGCCTGCTTGGTCAGCCGGTTGTGCATCTCCGCTCGCTGCGCCGCCGAGTTGAAGGTCGCACGCTGAGGCGGCTGCACGATGCGATCGACGGCGTCCGTCTGCTCGTCGTCGAGCTGCCGCAGGTGCGCGTCCGTCGAGGCTGCCAGTGCCGAGACGCTCCGCGACAGGTTCGTGGCCGACGAGACGAGGCTGGAGAAGGAGAGACTCGCCATGGTTTGCGGGTTTGCAAAATCGGCGGGGCCCATTTTTTTTTGAGAGTTTTTTTTTTGAGAGCGCCTTCGTTGTTAATAGTACAAACCCAATGGTCCTCTGCGAGCGGTCCGTCGTTGCAGTCGCACACACGCACACGCCACGCCGCACCGCGCGCCCGCCCACCGCCCCGCCCAGGCGGGAAAGAGATGAGGAGATGGGACAGCAAAGGAGGAAGCCCAAACACGTATGGGAGGGTTCAGTAATGCGCCACGCTGCCCGGCGTCTCTCACTTTCCGGGACAGCCCCGCCCTTGTGAGGCAGGAAAGTGACGGCTACCCCGTACGCCCTGCGGCCTGCTACTCCGACGCCGACCGCCCATTCTCCCCTCCTCATTCCCCCCTCGAATGCTCCGGACCCCGACAAGCCGCCCGACGTTGGGCCTCTGCCCCGCACGCTCCCGCCCCTCTGCCCCTCACACACACCCAGGCCCGACATGCACATACAAGACAAACCCGGCGTCCTGCTCTCAAAAGAAAAAGAAAAAATGGGAAGGAGGAGACCAGCGGGGGGAGACTCCCCGCCTATGCAACACCCCAGAGAGGGGCTGCCATCGCCGAAGCTGTGCCTAAGCATAACTCCCAAACCCGCAGCGGCCCGTGGCGCGCGGTTGATCGCGGCGCCGACTCCGCGGCGGCGCCATCTCACGCGGCGGGGCGCGTCGCGTCGTCGGCGCCAAAACAGACGCGAGCTCGCGGCGCGGCCGCGGCAGCAAAAACATCAACGACTACTTCTCCTTCTCTTCTCGTCTCGTCTCGTCTTGTCGCAGGCGCACACGCGCGCGACGTGCGCCCGTGTCGCCGCGTTCGCTCCGCGAAGGACGATTCGAACCGGGAGCCAGTCGGCGCAGCGGCGGGCGCGCGGCGGCAAAACGCACGACGCTCACCTCATGGAGATGCTGCTGCTTTGGCACCTCCTGATATAATGCTGATTTTTTGCTGAGCGGGGCGGAGGCACGCGGGCGGCGGAGGCGGCGGCGGACGACGTCTACTACCTGGCCGTCCCCTGTGGTAGCTTAGCGATCAGGGAGGATCTACCTGTTCGGCCTCGAGGAAGCTGCTGGGGGAGAGTGCGGCCCGATGGGGAGGAACGGGGCGAGCCCCCTCCAACCCACCCGCGCTAGGTCTCGGGTTTGACGCATGGGGTCACTCCCGCGAAACTCGAGAGATTTTTAGAAGCCAGCAAGAAATGTGTCACACTTGAAACTCGTGAACTAGCCGGGGCAGTCGGAGAAGGGGCAACTCCGTGCACTGACGGTCGGCCGTCAGAAAACACGCCTCCGTGGCTCGGGTTACACCAATCCTCGCTACCCAACGCGGCCAAAGGATATCCACCTCGAGAACCTCGAGAGAGAGGCGATCACCAAGCCTTACGTGGACGAATTCAAACCTACTTTTATGGTTTACCCACACTCTGCGAGTACTCGGGCTGTCCGTCCCAACGACTGTCACTCCCCTTTCTCCCGGCCGAGGTGGGGCGCGCGCGGGGGCGGCGGGTGTGCGGGATGTCTGTGGGCCCGAGAGCGATATGCCATGTCCGCCTTGCTTTGTTTCCTAACATCGAAGGCTAGCTCAAAAGAAAATCCAGACCGAAGATCGAGGATGTTCTCGCCGATCGGAGATGCGTGAGGAACAAATCGGCTCTGGATGGGCGCTGCCTTCCACGTCTCGGGCATTCGTCGATGAGCCGTTGCCGGAGACTGTCTGCGCTCTCGCTGCCGGTCGTCGTCCTGCTGCTGCTCCTTACGCGTCGGCTCGATCTGACGCAGCTCTCAACCCAGTTCGCGCTATCTGCCATTGTGTCGCCGGTGCAGGCACTCTACCCACCGCCACAGCTGCTCGCACGCAGGGTGGCCGAGCGTACGCCTCCGCACTTGGCGCGCGCGCAGTGGCGCGCGCAATACGCGCCGAGCAACGTCTCGATCGTCTCGATCGTGAGCTCTGGCTACCGGCAGTGGACAGATCATCTGGTGGCGAACATGCGCGCGCTTGGCCTCCTATCTTACCTGAGGCTGATCACGAACGACGGTAGATGCCACGCGTACCTGCTCGCGAGCGGGATCAACGTGCAGCTCACGCCCAGCTCGACGCGTGATGGATCGGGGTCAGCGGAGCTGCGTTACGGGACGGTGGGCTATCAGAAGCTCGTGCACCAGCTGCCCGCTGTCGTACTGCGGGAGTTCCGTGTAGGACGCTCGGTGCTCTTCCTGGATGCGGACATCACGCTTCTCGCCAACCCGCTTGCCTACCTCGCGCCACTGGGCGGGGACATGTATGTGCAAGATGATCTTCGCAAGCCCGATTCACGCTTCAATGGTGGCTTCTTCTTTGCCGCCGCCTCGTCGCAGACGGAGCGTGTCTTTATCGACATGGACGAGTACATTCGTGCGCACCCGACCACAAATAATCAGCCTGCCTTCAACTGGGCTCTGCTGAGGCACGCGCGCCGCCTGCGCATCCACGTGCTCGATCCGCTCCTTTTTGCGAACGGCCAGGCCTTCTTCGACCTGGGCACTGCTGCCACGCGCATCTTGCCAGTGCTGGTGCACCACAACTTTGCAGTGGGTGTGGGCACCAAGGTGGAACGCGCGCGTCGCCACGGGCTGCTGGTTGAACGCGCCGACCTCGGCTCGCTGCTCGCGAACTACTCGATGGCCCACTTGTCGCGGACAGAGTCATGAGCCCCTGTGGCGTGTGACCCTCCATTTCCCTCCCGTATTATAGACCCTTTTCCCGCCCCGGGGAATGGCGGGGGTGGGGTTATACGTCCGTCCGCCCCGCACGAGCCACTACGAGCTCGGCGGGGCGCGCCATTGCACACGGGGGTCCCCAGGGGTTTCATCCGGGGGTGTTAGAGGTTTCATACGGCTCTAGTGGGGTGTTGCACGTGAATGAAAGATTTTCCGCACTGCCGCTAAGCCCCGGTTTGGATGGGTCAAAAACGCGGTTTCTCGTCCCCCAAAACCTCTCGAGACCTCCACCGCCAAGTTATGTCCCGGAGCTTTGCCGGCCAACAAGAGGGGACTTCTGCGCGGAGGCCAGAGAGGCCCGCGTGGGGGAACGCGAGCCGGATGGAGCCGTCGCGAGGGCACCGGTGCAGTGGTGGCAGCGGTACTAGTGCTGATCTCGGCTAGCATCGATTTGTATTGTGTTTTGCAGCGTTGTTACAGCGGCGCCCGTCGTCAAGATGAATGAGTCGCTCCGCCGGGAGAGCGTCTCACATGACAACATAACATACTCATACATGTATTCATTCATGACTCTCAGGCAGCGCCTTGTTGTCCTTCGGGAGTTCGCAGAAAAAGAAACGCCGATGCGTCTGCCCGTTCCCCTGTCCTGGACAGGCGCATCTGCCCGTTCCCCTGTGTCCCTGACATGGCACTGCTGCCATTCGCTCCTCCGACGGGATGCGCCTGCCGCACCTGCATCCTCCCGCGTGCACGATCGCCCGCCATGCATGCGTGTGTGTCTGTGTGCGAATTGAAAGCGAGTCGAGAGGCGCGACGCGCGCCCACTGACCCTATCCTTCCGCACGTGTGTGTGTTGCTGTCCCCTGTCCGTCAGCGTCTCCGTACTCCGACCGCGACGACACCACGGTTGGGTGTGCTCGTGTCTCGCGTGATCCGTGATGAGTCAGTTCGGTGTGCGGCCCTCTGTGGCGCGACGAGCGCCCCTAGCCATATATGTCTGGACTGCGCAGGTGCGCAGCTGTACGAAGCGCTCTAGGGGAGGCACACTTTTTCGACTTTGGTGAAAGAAACGGCCGTGCACGCCCCATCGTGCACGTAGTTGGTAGTAACTCTACTTCGTGTGACGTAACGCGCTCTACGCAGTGGTACGACGCCGACTAGAAATAGAAAAAGTCTAAACACGGACTAGCACTAGGAGGGGTGGAGAGGAAGTGGAACGGCACAGACCCGAGACGGCGACCGCCACCGCACATATAGAGGTCGTATCGAGCCGCGCGCGGCTAACGCTTCTTCCTCTTCGCCTTTTTTCCCGCCCCTGCCTTGCCGCCCCCCATGCCTCCCCCGGCCGCCTTGGCCGCGCCGAAGCCCGTCTTGGTGGCGGCCGCCTCCTCCTCGCACGCGGCCCACCGCTGCAGCGCTGCCGAGTGGCCGTCGAGCGCCTCCATGCTGTCCATCAGCGAGTTGGTCAGCGCGCGCAGAGAGGCCTCCGACTTGGCGCCCCCGTACGCCGATCGGAGGTACCTGCAGGAAGGTTCCGAGAAGGTTCAGAGGAAGGCTCGGAGAACGTCTCGCCCCCGCCCGACGCTCGGAGTTGCATCCGCGTCTGCTCCGCCAGCACAGCCTCGTAGTGCTGCAGGACGCGCCGCGCCGCGCCGACCAAGCCAAGCCTCGCTGCGAGCTCCGCCGCCGTGGCGCCGCCCCAACGCACCGGCTCGCACTGCAGCAGCCGTTCTGCCAGCGAGGTGGCGGTCGCCTCCGACAGCGCATCCTCCTCCGCCCTCCTCGCCGCTGCCGCCGCCGCCGCCGCCTCCCTCGCCTCCCCCTTGGCCGCCCTGGCCAACTCCTTGCCCGCCCTCCTCTCCTCCTTGCCCGCCCCCGGCCCGAACGCACCCACCGCCGCCTCTGCCGCCGCCTCCGCCCTCGTCGCCGCGAGCGCTGCCCTCCTCGCCGCCTCGCCCGCGGGCACGGCCCGGCCGCCCCCCGCCCTTCGGCGGCCCCCGGCCCTTCGGCCGCCCCCGGCCGCCAAGTGCCGCGCAGACAGGAAGCCGAATGGGAGCGGCGCGTGCAGCCGCAGCCACTGCGGCAGCGGCAGCGCCTATGGGGAGGCTGCGAGAGAAAATTGGGGGGGGGGGGGGGGAGGTCCCCAGAAGAGGCGCTGCGCGGCAGACGGCAGCGCCGAGACGGGTGCCCCGTCCGACAAGGCGGCCGGCTGGCCGGCGCGCGTGAGCGCGTGCTGCCGAAGGTGCGCGTACGAGAGGCTCCAGATGTGCGAGTCGACGCCGACGGTGAGGTGGACGGAGGGCTGCGAGGCGACCTCGTCCTCGACCGGCTCGAGGAGCGTGTCGGTGGTGTGCGGGTAGCCGGCGGGAATGTAGAGCACCTATCAGGGTTTGGGATCCCTTGTGGTAGGGTACGCCACACTGACCCAGTAGCAAGGGGTGTGAGGGTGTGGGGATGTGGAGCTCCTGCCCCGGCTCCATCACAGTGTCGATCAGCAAGTCCTCCTCCACAAACTCCATGTGGTCGGTGCCTTTGCCGCGAGCGAACGGGTCGAGCGAGGGTGTCTTCCCTGGCGGGGGAGGCCGGTACACCCTCCACCGCTTTCGGCCCGTGCACTGCACGAGGACCACGTCCTGCGCGTCGGTGTGCAGCTGAGTCGAAGTGGCGAGGCCGGGCTTGCTCAGGTAGACGTTCAGCCAGATGGGCAGGCCGGTCGCCTCGAGCATGGCGAGCGAGATGCTGGCGAGCTTCGGGACGAGGAAGCCCGCGTTGAGCATCACGACCGTCGCAGAGTCCATCCGGGTGTCGACGTCTGCAAAGCTGAAGCCGGCTGCAAACGGCTGGTTGTAGACGCCTCCTTGGTGGCGCATGCCGCTGGCGACGAACTGGGGCGGGAGGAGGGTCACGTCGCGCGCCACGTCCTCCATCGTGAAGGCGCCCACCGCGAACTCCCAATGCTCCTCCAGCTTGAAGGCGACCTCTCCGAAGCCGTCGCTCACAAACGCTCGGTGGCTCACCAGAGTGCTGAAGGCGTGCCGCCAGGGCGCGGAGGCGAGCGGCTCGTGCGGTGCGGGCGCGGAGCTCTCCGCAGGCGCTGCGCGGATCGATGAGAGCGCAGCCTCAGTCGCGTCGAGGCTGGCCGCCACCGTCACCATCTCGCAGCCGCCACGCCGACTGCGGCTCGGGCCGGCCAGCGCTGCGGCTCGAGTGGCGGGAGGGATGACGGGCCGGGTGAAGTGGAGCGTCGCAGAGGCGGCGATGAGGAGCATTTGGGCGACTGGTCTCTGATCTCGCTGGCGCAGGGCGAACTAACGCAACAAGCTAGTGGGTCCCGCGGGGTGGCCCCGGCCGGGGGCGAAAAAAAGAAAAAAAAAGAGAAACGCGGTCGCCAACTGTCATGTCGGTAGCCGCTCTGCACCGCTCGCTGCTGGAGCGCGGTTGAAAAAATACGTCTTTCCTTCAAATTCGCTCTGCGGCGATGGTCCGATGGTTTTGTAACGCGAGAGAGAGAGAATTCTTGATACGAAACCACGACGACACACACCAGTCGACTCGCATCGGTTGCCTCCATGAACGGCGGAGCTATTCTCGCGCCCACACCACACCTGGCTCCAACACGTGGACACGCCCATAGCTGGGGACACTACTAGGTCACGCATGGCATCACAGAAGTTTTATCTCTGGGCCCCGAAAGGCATCTCTAGCAGTGTCGTTACACATGCCCCCTCCCCTCCTGGGCGCATGCGCCTCACGTCTCGCCAGAGCATAAGCCCTTGGCGTGTGGCGAGACGAGTTTTTCGCCATTGCAGCGAGCAGCAAGCCGCCCGCCGCAAACAGCCGGAGGCCTAAGTCGTAAGTGCCTCGCCACCCTAGGAGCAGCCGAGCGCAGTCGAGCTGGCCCTCCTGGCACGCGATGGCCAGCGCGGTGGAGCCACGGCCCGTCGTCGCCCCCACGCTCGCGCCGCTCTCGAGCAGCAGCCGCACGGCGTCGGCCTGCCCGTGCTGAGCGGCCCAGCCAAGCAGCGTGAAGTTGTTCTTGGCCTCGAGCCGCGCGTCGAGCAGGGCCGTGAGCGCCGGGCCGCGCGTCCGCCCGGAGAGGAGGGCGCGCAGCGAGCCCAGGTTGCCCTGGCGCAGCTCGGCGGGCACGACCGGGCTGATGGCGCCGCTCATGGCGATTGATTCCGCCGCCGCCACCGCCGCCACAAAAGAGCCATACTGTGTGCTCTTCCGGAGCCCCGCCGGGCGAAGTAAAATTCTTCCCGTAAAGAGTTTAGGTTTATTGAAAGAAAGAAAACGGAAAAAAGGAGGAATGGAGGACGGCACGCCGCCACCACACAGGGATTTTAGACCTACGACAGGGACCGAGACCTCGTAGCGAGAATTCTTTTCTACGCTGCCAAAGTGCGGAAGCGGCCCGGAGAGGCTGCTCTCCGCCGCCCCCCGCCGCCCCTCGATCGCCGCATGCGTCAGCCTGTCCTCGCGGCGATGCTCCTCGGCCTCGCCTCTCCGTCGCGCGGCGCGTCGCTTGCTGCGGCGCGCGCGAGCCGCGCGCTGCGAGTGCGCTCCGGCCGCGCCTTTGCGTCAGCCTCGGCGGTGGCAAAGGAGCCTCGGTTCATCACGACGCCGATCTATTACGTGAACGGGCAGCCGCACATCGGCCACGTGTACACCTCCCTCGCCTGCGACGTCGTCGCCCGCTTCTCGCGCCTCGACGGCCACAAGGTCCTCTTTCTGACCGGCACGGACGAGCACGGCCAAAAGGTGGAGCAGTCGGCCTGCAAGGCGGGCGAGTCGCCGCAGGACTTTGCCGACCGCGTCTCCGACACCTTCCGCGCGCTGCTGCCTCTGTACGACTTCTCCGTCGACCAGTTCATCCGGACCACCGAGGCGAGGCACAAAGAGGCTGCGGCGGCGCTCTGGTCGGCGCTGGTCGAGTCGGGGGACTTGTACCTCGGCGCGTACGAGGGGTGGTACTCGGTCCGGGACGAGTGCTTCTACACCGAGGAGGAGCTGGTCGACGGCAACGCGCCGACGGGGGCAGAGGTGGAGTGGGTGGCCGAGTCGTCTTACTTCTTCCGCCTCTCGCGCTACCGGCAGAGACTCGAGGAGCACCTCCTCGCCAAGCCTACGCTCGGTGTCTCTCGGTGTCTCTCGGTATCTCTCGGTCTCTCTCGGTAGGAGCACATCCTCGCCAACCCGGACTTCATCGGCCCCGCCTCGCGCCGCAACGAGGCCCTCGCCCCCTCTGCGCCATGTCCACGACACACGCCCACGACCCCACGACATGTCCACGACATGCCCACGACACGTCCACGACACGTCCACGACACGTCCACGACACGTCCCCACGACACGTCCACGACACGCCCACCACACGCCCACCACACGTCCACGACACGCCCACGACACGCCCACGACACGCCCACGACACGTCCACGACACGCGTCCACGACACGCCAACGACACGTCCACGACACGCCCACGACACGCCCACGACACGCCCACGACACGCCCACGACACGCCCACCACACGCCCGCCACACGCCCACCACACGCCCACCACACGCCCGCCACACGCCCACCACACGCCCACCACACGCCCACGACACGCCCACCACACGCCCGCCACACGCCCACCACACGCCCACCACACGCCCGCCACACGCCCCGCAGGTGCTCGCCTTCATGCGCGATGGACTGCGCGACCTCTCCGTCTCGCGCACGACCTTTACGTGGGGCGTGCCGGTGCCAGGGCCGCCACCGCCGGACGGCCTCTCGCATGTGATGTACGTCTGGCTCGACGCGCTCACAAACTACCTCACCGCCCTCGGGTACCCCGACACCGAGGCTGCGGACTTCCGCTCCTTTTGGCCCGCGTCGCTGCACGTCGTCGGCAAGGACATCCTGCGCTTCCACGCAATCTACTGGCCCGCCTTTCTGATGGCGGCGGGCCTGCCGCTGCCGAAGCGCCTCTTCGCGCACGGCTGGTGGATGAACGAGGGCGAGAAGATGTCCAAGTCAGTCGGCAACGTCGTCGACCCGGTGGCGCTGGTGCAGAGGTACGGCCCCGACCCGGTGCGCCACTTCCTCCTCTCGGACGTCCTCCTGCTTGATGAATGGTTCTCACCGGAATGAATGAATGTCATCAAGGTCCGCCACTTCCTCCTCTCGGACGTCACTTTCGGCGCAGACGGTGACTTCTCCGAGAAGAAGCTTGTCGAGTCGTCCAATGCCAAGCTCGCAAACGAGCCTAGAAGCGGAATACGTCTTCCTGTGTATCACAACTAGCGCTCGAGATAACACGTACTCAACTGCATTCGGCCGTCTTCCCTTTTCTCCGCTGTCCTCGTACCCCTCGTATTCGCGCGGTGCTCCGAGTACTCTGCACGACACCGTCTCCCCGCCCAACACTGGCGTCTTCAGCGCACAGGCCAACGAGCTTGGCAACCTCGCGTACCGCACCCTCTCCTTCACGCAGAAGCAGTGCGGCGGCGCCGTGCCCGCGCCGGACGCCTTTTCCGAGGACGACCTGCAGCTGCTTGCCGAGGCGGCGGCTCTGCTGCCGCAGCTGCGCACGCACGTCGACTCGATGGCGCTGCACCGGTACTCGCAGGGGGTGTCTGGGCTCGCCTCCGCTGCCAACCGCTACATCGACGTGCAGGCGCCGTGGGCGCTCAAGAAGAGCGAGCCGGCGCGGATGCGGACGGTGCTGTACGTGCTGATCGAGGTGCTCCGCCACCTTGCGCTGTACTCTCAGCCGGTCACGCCCCGCATCGGCGCTGCGCTGCTCGAGCAGCTCGGCGCGAGATCTAGCCGAGATACAGCTGAGGCATAGCCGAAATACAGCCGAAACACAGCCGAAACACAGCCGAAACCAGCCGAGGTACAGCCGAGGTACAGCCGAGGTACAGCCGAGGTGCAGCCGAGGTACAGCCGAGGTGCAGCCGAGGTGCAGCCGAGGTACAGCCGAGGTGCAGCCGAGGCATAGCCGAGGCATAGCCGAGGTCTGCTCGAGCAGCTTCCCCCCGACCCTCTCCGACCCTACCTCCAGGCGTGCCCGAGGGGGGCGGACGCTCCTTCGCCGCTGTCGGGGAGGGGAGCGCCCTGCAGCCTGGCCAGCCGCTGCCTCCGCCCAGGATCGTCTTCCAACGCATCGAGGAGGTGGACGAGGCGGAGGGCGGAGGGGAGGCGCCTCCGGCGGCGGCGGCGCTGACGGCGGCGCTGACGGCGGCGGAGGAGGCGGCGCTGGTGGCGGAGGTAGGGGCGGCGGGCGAGAGAGTGCGCAGCCTGAAGGCGAGCGGCGCGGGCAGCGAGGAGGTTGGCGGCGCGGTGGCGACGCTTCTCGAGCTCAAGGCGCGAGACTGGCCGAGATCGAGTCGAGACTCGCCGAGATTCGTCCAGATTGGCCACGCAGCGCGAGTGATGCGAGAGCGTCGAGACAGGCACCTCCCTCCTCTTTGGGAGACCCGAGCACCTCCCGGAAAGACTCATACCCGCTGAGGCAGCCGCGCCGCGCCTTCGCCCTGCAGGCACGGCTGCCGCCCGATCACGAGCTGAACGCCAAGCCCGCAAAGAAGAAGAAGTCGAAGGCCGCCAAGGCGTGAGAGCGGTCGAGCGGGCTAGGGGCTACGTAGCGTGTGAGAGGGAAGGGAAGTCCGCTTGGATTCACTGCGAGATCGGCCGTCCGATCGTGTGTTTTTGATTGATCACAAAAGTACGAGACGACTCCTCCTCTTCATTTTCGCAGCGTCGCCAGTGCGCAGTGAAACCACCCCCTTTCCAACCGTCTCAGGGACGGACGCATTTGCCCCCTTTCAAAGGCGGTTTCGAAGTTGATGAGACCTCGCCCCCCCCTCTCCAATGAAAGGCGTAAAAAGAGGCGCGGAACAGGCCGGAACCGCCGCTTGCACGTGGGTCACACAATGGCAGCGCTCCAGACGCGCTCTGGTAGCTGCCAATGAAGCTGCAGCCCATCGCGCGCGCGCCGGACGGCCACTGCACCTCCACTGCATTGCCCTCCTGCACCGAGCGACGCGTCAAACCTTTGTTGCTGCCCATGACCGCCGGCGGCTCCGAGCTCGGGCGAGCGAGCCCTGGCTGAGCTGAGCCACTGCGGTCGCAATTGCAGCGCTGCGGTCGGTGCAGAGTGGCCGTGCGCGTACGGCGTCGTACGCGCACGGCCGCTCTGCCTCAGTGGCGTGCGGCTTGGGCCAACTGGAGGTCGCTCTCCGACCTCGCTCGCCGAGCTCACAATCCGGCGCGAGCCGCATCGAGTGGAAGTTCGACTTCAGCTGCCGCGAGTGGATGGACTGCCTTGTCGAGTGCAAGCAGTTGGGCTCCGCCGGGAGCATGTGGTGCAACATGTTCTCTGGGCGCCAGCAGACGCGAGCGCGCGAGCGCGTGTTGAAACGGACGCTCCATAGCAACACTCGAGATACACTCGAAGGGGTACACGTTTTCTTTTCGGGTTTCGTGGGTTATAGTGCACTTGGAAGCGACGAAACCGAAGACGGTTGGCCCCGGGGTGGTTTCACTGCGGAAGACTTCTTCTACACCAGTAAACCGAAACCCGTCGGCGTTAATAAAACTCCTCTGCGCTATCAGGGGCCGTTGTCCAGTCCGCGACTGACTACTAGAGACTCTCTGCTGGCCCGGCCCGCTCTTCACTTCTTTACCTACCTGCCCCATGGCCCTTCCCCCTTCTCTCCTCTCTTCTCCCCTCTCTCTCCGATCGGCGCATACAGCAGCGCGTCGAGCCAGTAAGGGAAGAAGGCCTTCGCGAGGTCAAATTCTTGTCGCTGCATCCGCTCCCACGTGTGCTCGAGGAAGTCAGTTGTCACGTTGGCCCAGTCCTCCACTTGCACGACCGGCATTCCCTATGCATCGTAAGAGCGTAAGAGAGGGCGTCGTGTGCGGTGCCTGAGCCGGTGTGTCGAGCCTCCCACAGCGGGGCGAGGCCCGGATCAGCGTCGACGAGCGGGATAGCGCCTATGCGCGCACTCACGGGCGGCGTGGTAGGCGGGAAGCAAGGGCGGCGCCTGCTCTGGATGGAAGTCGCGCCGGAGGCCAGCGCCTCCCACTCCCGGTGGTTGTTGTGACCCGTGCCCCACGGAGAGAAGACGAACTTGGAGTCGAGTATCTGCTCACTCGCCCTTTCCGCGCAGCGCGGCCCGCGCGGCTCGCAGTCGAACCTAAGTCCGTTTGAGCCACGGCTCTCCTTCACGGGTGGGGCCGAGACTATGCTGGCGGTCGGACACCCGTTCTTGCGCAGCGCCTCCATCTTTGTTGCGCGCCGCGCCGCAGGAGGTATCCGCCTTCCGTCGTAGCGGCCGTAGAGGGTCATGCAGCTGCACCACAGCAGCAGTGGCCGCTCGCGACGCTCCAAGCCCCTCCCAGACGCCTCGCCCGCCCGGAGCATGCGATCCGTCGTGTCGGTGTTGAAGACGCCGCGCGGGAACGGGTGCAGCTTTGGATGGCTCAGCCGCGGCGAGCTCACAAACCAGGCTGCGAGGCGGCTATCGTTGAGCCGCGCAGCGGCGCTCGGCTGAGGGAGGGGTGGGTCCCCGATTTGCACCAGCACGACGCTTTCCATCCCCCGGCTCTCGAGAGAAGGCAGGAAGCCCTTCGCGGTCGCATCGCCGTTGCCGTGCACGACGATGAGGTGCGAGGCTCCACACGTCCTCTCACCTCTGACTGCGGGCGGGCTCTCGAGCACCTGTGGCGGTGGCGAAGAAGTCAAGAGATCGTCCTCTGTCCTCACATGCACCCAAAATGTCCCGTCGAGCCAGTCACCTCCTTGTCGTAGACGGCACCCACCTCTGCAAACCTGAGATCTGAGTTGTGGCCGATCAGGACAGACTCAACGAGCGGGATGCCGTGCCGCAAAGTGTAGGAGCGGTTTAGCGCTGCGCTCCAATACCGCACGCGGACCTGGCACGCCCGCCCCGCCTCAAGCATGCAGCAACGGAAGCATGCGCCAATGCGGCTATAGGGAGTGCTCCATGCCGGGATGGAACTGCGCAGGCACCCAGTGCTCCATGCAGGTAGACAGCTGGCTCCGCTTGCTGGCGGTTCAACCCCGTGGCGAAGGCACTGCTCGACGAGGCTGGTGGGAGCTGGCCGCATCTGGTGTGCACTCAGACAGTCAGCCACGCGCGTCCACTCCAGAGGGGTTGTGTAGTTTCATCCCTCGGCATCATTCGGCTCGCCCCCCTTGTCCCCCTGTCACGCTCTGCGTGCGGCAGCTTGCGGCGACCCCGCGCTATCCGGCAGTGCACAACCTCTTGTGGGCTATTCGGCCGTTGTAGGCGCGGGCTCTTTCCTTTTGCTGGCACTGCTTGCGCGCGAGAGCGGCATGGAAACAGCGCGCGCACGAGCAATGCCCTTAGCGACGCCCTATACGGCAAGGGGGTTACAGTCCGAGGTTTGCGCCAAAAGAATTCGAAGTCCTCGCGAAAAGAAATCCACTGGGAGCAGTGTCCATGGCGTCGCCCTCCCGCAAGCGCCCCCGCAGCGAGGAGGAGGGCGAGCCCGTGGCGGTCGCTGCCGGCTTCGAGGCGCCCATCTTTGGCGCGCGCGCCGTCGGCCAGGTCACCACGCTCGTGCTCGAGGGCGAGGACGGACCTCTGGCGTCCCTCACCCTGCGCGGCGTCGCGAGCGATCACGCGGGCGCCTGGTACGTCGCGACTAAGGACTCGGTGCTGCACGTCTCGGCGGCCGGGCGCGTGCGCACCGTGGCAACCTGCGAAGGCGGCAGGTTCTCCCGCGTCGCCATCAGCCCGGACGGCAGCGCGCTGTTTGTGGCGGACGCCGGCAACGAGAAGATCCGGCGGGTGGAGGTTGCGTCGGGTGCTGTGATGACGCTCGCGGGTAGCGGCGAGGAAGGCGATGCAGACGGCGTGGGCGATGCGGCGCAGTTTTGTTCCCCAGTCGGTCTCGCCATCAGCCCGGACGGCAGCGCGCTGTTTGTGGCGGACAACGACAACCACAAGATCCGGCGGGTTGAGGTGGCGACGGGTGCTGTGACGACGCTCGCGGGTAGCGGCGAGGAAGGCGACGCTGATGGCGTGGGCGGCGCGGCGCAGTTCTGCAACCCAAACGGCCTCACAATCAGCCCGGACGGCAGCGCGCTGTTAGTGGCCGACTTCTGCAACAACAAGATCCGGCGGGTGGAGGTGGCGACGGGTGCTGTGACGACGCTCGCGGGTAGCGGCGAGGAAGGCGATGCAGACGGCGTCGGCGATGCGGCGCAGTTCAACGGACCACACGGCCTCGCAATCAGCCCGGACGGGAGCGCGCTGTTCGTGGCGGACTGCGAGAACAACAAGATCCGTCGGGTGGAGGTGGCGACGGGTGCTGTGACGACGCTCGCGGGTAGCGGCGAAGAAGGCGGCGCTGATGGCGTGGGCGGCGCGGCGCAGTTCGAATACCCAGTGGCCCTCGCCATCAGCGCCGACGGCACAACGCTTTTGGTCCGCATGGAGGGCTCGGCTCTCCGCCAGGTCTGCGTGGCGGCGCCTCCTCCGCCTCCCTCCTTCGCACCGCTTGTGGTTCCGCCCTCCACCTTCTCCGCCGACATGGCCAACACGTGGGGCGACGCCACCCTCCCCGAGGGCAAAGTCACCTTCCTGGTCGGCGACGACAAGGAGCGCGTGGAGCACGTGAGCAAGAACGTCCTCTGCGTTCGGTCCGTGTTCTTTCGGACGATGTTTGGCATCGGCATGAAGGAGCGCGACGCCGCCGAGGTCACGGTGCTCGAAACGGACCTCGCCAGCTTCACCGCCCTCGTCCGCTACCTCCTCACCGACCAGCTCGACCTCGGCGAGGGGGAGGGCGAGCAGGCGCGGCGCGCGCTCGTGCTGCGGCAGCTGGCGCATAAGTACCAGGTGCCGCGCCTCGAGCTGCTCTGCGCGCAGGCGCTGCAGGAGCGCGTCGCGCCGGCGAGCGCCGTGCCGCTGCTCGAGGCGGCGCACACGATGGGCGACGGGCGGCTCCTCGCGCAGTGCCGCCGCTTCGTGGCCGACCACGCCGCCGAGGTGCGCGCGAGCGGCGGCGTGGAGCAGCTGCGCGACCTCGGCGTGGCCAAGGGGCTGCTCGGCGACGCGCTCGACCAGGTGGCGGAGCTGCAGAAGGGGGCGCCCCTGCGCAGCCACTCGTAGTGCGCAGCCACCCGTGGTGCGGAGCGCGCGGCCACGTACACAGTGCATATTGGTTTCCTTCGTCGTTGCTCGTTGACGTCCGTGTGTGTGTTCCGCGAGTGCGTGTGCCCCGTCGTCCGTGCTAGGGACGCGTGTACCACTGACTCGTGACTGTCTCTGACCCTCGCGACTCCTCAGGCAAAGGTGGAGTCGCTGGTTGCCGCCTAACCGACTCCCCTTTTCATGTATATATTTCCCATTTCGTGCACAAAGGTGCAACCCATACTGCGACGCTGTCCAGTCCGAGCCTGACTGTGCTTCACCACCTTCCTAAGTAACTAAGCTTGATGCCGCGCTCCTTGCACACGGCCTTCAGCTCGTGCGGCTTGCGGTCCACGGCGAGCATCTGCACGCGAGGGGAGGCGTGATAGGCATTTGGCGGGAACTATCGCGAGTGGCGAGGGGGGCGTCTCGCGCCTTCAGGCTCGGGGCGGCCCCCTCCAAGAGGGCGGCGGCCAACGCCTTGCAGCCCTCATCCCCAATCTGGTTGCCGTCAAGACAGAGCTCCTCGAGCCGCGGCGCTGCCCCCTCCTTGCCGAGGGCGGCGGCCAGCGCCCTGCAGCCCTCGTCGCCAATCTTGTTGCGGGTGAGATCGAGCTCCTCGAGCCGCGGCGCTGCCCCCTCCTTGAGGGTGGCGACCAACGCCTTGCAGCCCTCGTCGCCAATCTCGTTCTCGCGGAGATAGAGCTTCTCGAGCCGCGGCGCTGCCCCCTCCTTGCAGAGGGCGGCGGCCAGCGCCTTGCAGCCCACGTTGCCAATCTTGTTGCAGGTGAGATCGAGCTCCTCGAGCAGCGGCGCTGCCCCCTCCTTGCCGATGGTGGCAGCCAGCGTCTTGCAGCCCTCGTCGTCAATCTCGTTGCTGCTGAGATTGAGCTGCTTGAGCAGCGGCGCTGCCCCCTCCTTGCCGAGGACTGCGCTGCTCGCCGGCCCTGTGCACGGCGAGCACAAATGCGGCTACAGTGGTGGCCGCGGCAGACGGGAGCGGTGCGGGGCAGAGCACCTAATGCAGCCTTCAGCTCAGCGCGGGAGATTGCGTCGTCAGAGTTTGAGTCGATAACATCAAAGAGCTGCCGTACGAGGAGTGCGATTGCTTCGGGCGGTGCACTCGGCGCAGCACTCGGCGGTGCATCACTCTTTCTTGCGTTCGCTGTCTTTCCGAACAATGATGTTGGCTCGCTCCACTCGGGTTCTGTCTCTGCGGACCAGAGCGATGAGCAGAATGGGGCGAAAGGAGAGGGCGGAGTCGGGGTCGGAGGTGTCCCGCGCTTGCTGGTTGTTTCGTCCTCTTCCCCTTTACGTTCTGGTTGCTCTGACGGGTTCGATGCGCAGCAGCCCATAGCCTCGACGTGGCGGTGGCGCCAGAGGTTCCTGATCGTAGCGGTGGGTCCAAGAGGCTCCTTGTTTCCGCTCGCCCCTCTTATGGCGGGGATGCGATCGTGGCGGACGGCCGCGCCCCGGGTGGCAAGTTCGGCTGGAAGAATATTTTTCTTGTAGAGAGAGAGCAAATTACGTGTGAGTGTTAGGTGTAGGTATATTGTTGGCAAATCAAGACACAGAGCTCACACAGAATCACAGCGGGAGGAAAGCGGCGAGTCGCAATTCCAGGGGTCGTTGTGGCGGGCCATGACACCCAGCATGGCACATTCCGCAGGGACGTTTTTCAGATTTCACCGAGCACAATCTGCCTTGCCAGGTGAGAAAGTTGCGCCTCAGTGGGGAGAAAGTCCAACGCCCGTCCACGCCAGGTCATAAGTTAAACATAAGCGATTGTACGAGTTATTCTATCTTCGCTGCGCCGAAGCAACTTTTACCAAGCCGTGCACGCGGAAGCACGAAAGGTTAGTCTGAAGGAGAAAGAAAGAAAGAGGGCAGGGTCCAACAGACCACCCAAGACTGCTTTCAGACGCTTACGCCAATTTCACCTCAAGTGGCGCAAATCGTGACCATCGCAATTCGCGGACCGAAGAGTCTCGAGCTTCAGCCGGCGGTCTTTGGATAAACCGGCACGGCATGGCGCTGTACGAGGAGGACGCGGGCGAGAGCGACTCCGCCGATGACGACGAACTTGGCAGCGCGCGGCCAGCCGCGTCGCACACATTCACATCCCACCTCTTTGCAACCACAGGTTCTGCGTACGCCGCTGGCTGCAGCGGTTGCAATGTCACGCCTTCGGGCCACGCCCATTATACCTCACCCGCTTTCGCTTCACGCCCGTCACCTCGCCCGCCCCGCGCACGCCCGCGCCTCCGTATGTGTCCTCACGCTCTGAGCAAGCCGCCGTGTGCGCGCAGATGCCCCCGCGCGCGGGTGCGCCTGCAAGCGTGAAACGCTCCCGCGCCAGTATGTTTCCCAGGCTGGCCAGATCGGACGAGTGGAGGGAGTCTAGGAGGGAGAGAGGGAGGGGTAGAGGATTGGTTGGTGAACAGTCTGTCGGTGTCTAGGTCTAGAGAGCAAGAGGGATAGAAGGAGGAAGGGAGGGGGGGGCGTTTCGTTCTAAATTGATGAGAGGACTAGCACTCACCGCCCGCACACTGCCGCCCATCCCTCCAAACGGGCTTCTTGGGTGCAAAGATATGCCACCGGCGTCAGCGCCCCTTGGTTTCTTTTTCAGACTGACCCCGGACGCGGACTGCTCGGATATCCACCTCGAGAAAGCGATCGGAGCCATGACATCCCTCAAGGGCCAGATCAAGCAGAGCCTCGAGTCTCTCAACAGCATGACCAACGCCGCTGAGTTCGACAAGGGCATCCCCGTCGAGCTGATCCAACGCTGCTCGGGCATCGTCTTCATGACGGAAGTCAAGGCGGGCTTCGTGTGGTCCGGGTCCGTCTCGGGTGGTATCCTCATCGCGAAGCTCCCAAACGGTGGCGGCTGGAGTGCGCCGTCGTCGCTCGGCAGCGGCGGGATGGGGTTCGGCTTCCAGGTCGGAGCGCAGAAGACGGACACCATCATTCTTCTGTTCGGCACCCTTGCCGTGAGCACCTTTGCCAGCGCGGGCCAGGTCAAGTTTGGCGGCGACCTCTCCGTCTCGGCCGGACCGGTCGGTCGGTCGCTCGCAGCAGACGCGAGGCTCGGCACGGGAGGCTTCACGGGCTGCCTGAGCTACTCGCAGTCGCAGGGGCTGTTTGGCGGCGTCTCACTGACGGGCGCGGTGCTCATCACGCGCTCAAAAGACAACGAGGAATTTTATAAGAGGCCGGTCACGTCCAAGCAGCTCATCTCGGGCGAGGTGCCGCAAGACTGTCACTGCTCCCCACCCACCCACGCGCACCAAGTGCACTTTGAATCCCAGTGATAGCCCACCCAAGCCCACCCATGCGTGTGAACTCACCTCACCAGGTGCCGCCACCAGCCGAGGCGGCCTCCCTCTACGCCGCGCTCGACGACCTGATCAAGCAAGCGCCGCCGCCGCCGCCGCCACCACCACCCGCGGGCCACGAGGGCGTGTTTCGCCCAACGCAGGCCAGCCCCGCGCCGGCTCAGCAGGAGGACGCGGCCGCGAAGATCCTGAAGCTCAAGGGCTTGCTCGACGCGGGCGCCATCTCGCAGGCCGAGTTTGACCAGAAGAAGCAGGAGTGGCTCGACAAGATGTAGATGCTGCGAGGATCAAGGCTGTAGTGCGATTGGGGTTCGTTCAGGGGAGAGGCGCGCGGGATCCAAGGGCACGCAGGGCGTTCCGAAAAATCACACGAAAGGGGAAGCGTATCCTCCCCTCTTTCCTTCAAAAGTTTGCTCCACCACACTACTCTCCTCACGGTGGAGAGTGGGGTGCTCGACTCACAAGGGGACCGCCACTCCCCACTCACTGCTGCGCGGCGGACACGCCCCCGGCCCCGCCAGAGAGGATGGTGACGTCGCTGCACGACGCCCACACTTGAGAGGTGGCCTCGCAGTCCCAGCGAAAGCCGAGGACGTACCTCCCCGGGCGCAGACTCACCTAAGGCAGCACCAGGCGCGATCGACTCAAGCCGAGGTGCAGCCGAGATGACCCCATTCCCCCCCCCTCCGGCTCGCCGGCAGCTTCAGCCTGTCGACGATCACCGGCAACACCCGGCCGATGCTCGCGTTGTCGCTCGTACCCCAGCACGTCGCGTCGCACCTGTTCACAGGCGTGGGGGCGTGAAGAGGAACTTCGCGACGTGTCGCTCAGCCCTCGTAGCAAGCCGCGTCGCGCCCGGCCGGAGGGGGGAACTGCGGCGCGTCGCAGCTGCCGCCGCGGCAGGCCGGGACCGGGTTTCGTCGCCACGCCCCTCCGGCAGGCACCGTCCCTTTGGACACGTCGGCCGCCGGCGCGCGGACCTCGCCGCCGCCGCCGAGGCGCAGCGTGGAAACGGCGTCGGCGAAGGGGAGGTGGTTGGCCTAAGGGGTGGAGGAGTCTCAAATGCCTGACATCCCTGTCTCCTCTCCTCTCCTTCTCCCTGCGGCTGGCCTGGAAACACTCTTCTGTCAGCGGCGCCGACGCGGGGCAGAGGCGGTACGCGTACCTACAGCCGAGATCTCGCCGAGATCGAGACGAGGTTGGGCGAGATCTCGCGCTATCTCCGGCAGCGCGAGCCCTCCCCCGTGGTTGGCTGCGATGCCCCACCCGACCTCCACCACACCCCCCGCCCGCCAGGAAGCGGGCGCCGAGCTGGCGAGCGGAGGCAGCAGCGAGCCGCGCGCGCCCCATGCGTGCCCTGGCGGCGGGTGGCCTCCGGGGGCAGAGTTGTCGCGTGGGGCGCCGCCGGCCACGCCGCAAGCGTCGAGGACGGGGGCGGCGCCGGGAGAGCGCCACGGGTGCGTCCTCGTCCAGTCGGTCGCCTATTGGTGGCCTTCTCGCTACTGCTGTCTTTCTTGGTTGAGGCGGCTCCCCGTCCAGTCGGCCGCCTACTTCCGGCGATTGTTCATCACCAGTGCTTCTTCCCTTTTGAGGCGCCTCCTTGCCGCGTCCAGCCGGCCGCCTCTCCAATCCCAAAGGTGCGGAAGCGGTCGGGGAGAGTCGGCGCGGTGGCGGTGGGGCAGTGGTCGACCTTCGCGTCGCCGGTGCAGCTTGCACATCCGGCAGCACAGCCTAGGCGACGCGATCTCGGCATCATCTCCCTCCCATCTCGGGTGGGCAGGACCTCGGCATCATCTCCCATCGCGGCGGAGGCACCTTCGCTGAACCACTGGCACGCCCACCCGCGGCAGCCGCCGGTCCAGTACGTGTCTCCCGTGACGGGCAGCTGCGTGCAGGCGCCTCGCCGCAGCTTGTAGGTCGTCACTGGCGGTCGGGAGCAGTTGGAGGAGGGCGGGAAGACTGTCAGCCACGCGTTCCGACCAGTCTCCACTGTCTCCACGCCCTCCACGTCATACACGCCCTCCACGCTCTGCCTGCTCTCCGCGTCAGGAGGCCGGGTGTCCGATGGCGGAATCTGCGTCTTGCCCGGCAGCAGGAGCGACGCCGCGGTGCAGTTGTCGTGAGGCGTGCAGTCCACCAGTCGGCCGGCGACCGCAGGAGGAGAGAGGCTGAAGAGGTAGGAAGGGCGCTCGGGCTGCGTGGTCGGATTGGGCACGCACTGGCCCGTGGGGTACACCTCCGTCTGGTACCCTCCTCCCTCGGGGCAGAGATGCTGGTTGTGGGTCGCCATCGCCACGCCGCTGTCCGCTGCGTAGAGACGTACGCCGTACGGTATCGAGCCGCGGGACGCCGGCTCAGCGTTGCGTGGGCGCGGGACAAATGTGGACCCGTGCGCCGCCACACGGCCAAGCGAGACAAGCAGTAGTAGAGTGCTGTGGAGCGAGGAGTCGGCCATCTCGCCAAAAAGAGAAATACAAGAAACTCTCTCACGTTACCACAACGCCTTTTCTTTTCCTCGCGATGTCCACCCCGCCGCGCCGCCGCTCGCGCCGCCTCGCCTCCGCCTCAGCCGCCGCTCCCTCTCCAAGCACGCCGCCGCCCACCCGCCTCCTCGACCTCCCCACGGACCTCCTCGTCCGCGCCCTCTCTCGCTGCGACCCCGCCGACATCGCTCGCGTCGCGGCCGTCTCGCTGCTCTTCCACGCCTCGCTTGCGCTGGAGGGCATCCGCTTGTGGGCGCGCGAGCGCGGCTTCGAGCTTCCGGCGCAACCCGAGGACGAGAGCTGCGCCGTGCGGTGGCTGTGCTTTATGGCGCTGCTGCGCGAGTCCAACCCGCCGGCGAGGGCGGCGGCAGGCACTCGGCACAGCGTCTTCATCGACGGCGAGGGGCGGCTCTCGTCGTGCGGCTGTGCGCCTCCTCAAGTCTCAGGCCTCCTTGGCCACGGCGAGGGCGTGACGCGGCTCAACACGCCGACCCGCCTCCCCTCCCCGCTGGGCGGCGAGCGCGCCGTGAGCGTGTCGGCTGGAGGATACCACAGCCTCGCCCTCACCGACGGCGCCGTTTGGAGCTGGGGCCAGGGAGGCTTGGGCGCGCTGGGCCACGGCGACCAGCAGAACCAACTGCTGCCCAAGGAGGTCGAGGCGTTGGCTGGCCAGCGCGTCGTTGCTGTGTCTGCTGGAGGCCACCACAGCCTCGCCGTCACCGCCGACGGCGCCGTCTGGAGCTGGGGCGATGGAGACTGCGGCAAGCTGGGCCACGGCGACGAGCAGCGCCAGCTGCTGCCGAAGACGGTCGAGTCCTTGGCTGGCCAGCGCGTCGTCGCTGTGTCGGCTGGGACCCTGCACAGCCTCGCCATCACCGCCGACGGCGCCGTCTGTAGCTGGGGCGATGGAGACTGCGGCAAGCTGGGCCACGGCGACCAGCAGAACCAACTGCTGCCGAAGAAGGTCGAGGCGTTGGCTGGCCAGCGCGTCATCGCTGTGTCGGCTGGGCAGTACCACAGCCTCGCCATCACCGCGGACGGTAGCGTCTGGAGCTGGGGCATGGGAGCCTCGGGCAGTCTGGGCCACGGCAACGCGCTGCGCCAACTGCTGCCCAAGAAGGTCGAGGCTTTTGCCGGCCAGCGCGCCGTCGCCGTGTCGGCAGGAGCAGTCCACAGCCTCGCCCTCGCCGCCGACGGCGCTGTCTGGAGCTGGGGCTATGGAGCCTATGGCAAGCTGGGCCACGGCGACCAGCACAACCAGCTGCTGCCCAAGAAGGTCGAGGCCTTTGCTACCCAGCGCATCATCGCCGTGTCGGCTGGAGGCTGCCAGAGCCTCGCCATCACCGCCGACGGCGCCTTCGTCTCGTGGGGCGAGGGCGGCGGCGGCTGCCTAGGCCACGGGGAGGACCTGTCGGACCAGCTGCTGCCAAAGAAGGTCGAGGCGTGGGCGCCGGGGCAGTGAGCAGGGAAGGCGGCGAGGAGCGCAGGAGCCGAGGTTACTGACGTTGCTGCTGTTACACCTAGCGGTCCACATCACGGGTAGCCCAAATGATGCTAAATCACTGTGATTTCTTGTTGGTTCTTTATGAAGAGTGTTGTGAGTCAGAGCTTTGTTGTAAAAATTCTTTTTAAAATTCTCCCCACCTTCTTGCCTCAGCCTGTCAGTCACGTCCCAGAGGTGCCAGGAGAGCCGCAGGCGCGCGCCGTCGACCTCCCACCCCCTCCGGAGCCCAAGTCGTTGCCCTCTCCCTGAACCCTGGCCCCTGGGAGCTGGGTGGGTGGAGGCCTTTGTATCGCGCGACGCAACGGAGACGCCAAACGTTTGAATTTCCCTCGCTTTGCAAAGAAAGAATTCTTAAAATACAAGCCTCTCTCACAGCACACTGGCACGACAAGGGCGCGGACTGGCGCGGACTGGCACACTCACCGGCTCACCGCCGGAGCCGCCTAAGCGACTCCGTTAAGAAAGAAGAAAGGCGTGCGACAGAACGCCTTGGCGCCGTGTCCCGCCGATACTGGAGCCTCTTCGACACCCGGCCCCCCCCATTGCAAGTCCCAAGAGGACGCACGCAAGAGAGAACGACGGCCTCTCACACGTCGCTCGTCGTCGGCGGACCTCTCGGCGCGCTCTCTGGCGCCCAGCGAGGCCGGCGGCTGCACGACTCTGCAGACACTGCACACCTCGCTGTGTGCGACCCCGGCCCCGGCGTCCTCGCGCCCCTCTCATGGGGATCCGCTCTCGCCATCTCCCCTCTGCCCGCGCGGCGGACGTCCTCAGCTCATCGAGGCTGCAAGCCTGCCCGAGAGCGTGAGCCGACCTCCCACAACCCAATCGGTCCGTCGAAAAGCCTCGCCGCCCGTGCCACCTCTCAGCAGAACAGGGCGCGCGAGAAGGTGTCGGCGCAGAGCTACTTGCGGCCGTGCGACGTGCGCGCCGCGAAGAGCTCGCCGCGCGACGCCTCTGGCGGCAGGTCAGCGCCGAGGCTCCTGATGAAGCCGCAGTACGCGTCGTGCGCGACGAGCAGCCACCTACTCTCGGATTGTGGGCGAGCATATCTAGCGTGCACCCCGGGCGTGGGAGGCGACCGAGGGGCTTCGTCACCGCGCGACGTCACTGCGGAAGCCGTCCAACTCCTCCCTCTCGTACTCCGAGGGAGGGCACTCGAGTCGCACGTTGAAAAAGAGCGTCATGCCGGTTTCGGGCTCGGTGGAAATGCTGATGCTGGCATAATCCTCCATGCCGGGAAACGCGACCAACGTCGCCTTCTCGCCGGCGGCGCGAAGGGCCGACTTCATGGAAGCCGCCTCCTCGCCGTCCCGCGGCTGCCGCTGCAGCGAGAGGCTGAGCTCAAGCTCGCACTGCGTGAAGGCGGCGGACTTGGCGGCGGCCAGCGCGGCAACGGCCGTCAAGACCGGCT